ATATATAAAACATATATATATACATAATATATATAGATATATAACAAAATATACATGTTTGTATCTCAAGGGTAGTTTCTCTCTCAGGTTATAGTTTAAAAATATGTGCATCAGCAACCCAGAGGTTTGCTGTCGATCAAGAAAAATACCAGTAACTTTGCCTTCAGAAAATATTTGCCTCTAGTCAGTAAATTGTGGTGCAGAAGGGGTGAACCTTACCTGCTTAGGGTATGAAGTAGCAAATAATAAAAAAAAAAAATACGAAAAACCCAACCGGTAAACTATCTTTGTCCTTGACAAAAGAAGGTTGAAAATTAAGACAGACCTTCTTAGCAGACCTAGGGCCCCCCTTGTCCAAAGGTAAAACACCATTTTGTTCTCCCAGCTGTGATTTATCAAAGTTTTACGCAAGCGGGGTTTCAGGATTCTTCAAGTAGGTCTTGTTAGGTGTCTGTAGACTCCTAAAGAGCTTCCTCGGAGCCCCTGCCAGAATCCTGATTTTATAGGTTAGGAAGTCCCACTAGCTTCAGAGCACTTCCACTGAAGTTGATGTTTTTTAAGCCTTCAAGAAAAGTAGCTGACTCTTCTGTACAAAGCAAGTAAAAACCTCTGGTGACTTTATAAAAGTAATAATTTATCCCCCGTTAAAGACACATTGTCCAGTAAGTGTTTCTTGTGCCTGAGTTCTTTATTTTTTCCTAGAGTACTGGTAGCAGTAAAAGGGCATTCATCCAGTGGAAGAAAAAACAGGGCAATTTAACGGTAAAAAAAACATAAAAAAACCCCTGAGTGCAATATATATAACTCCACACAGCTCCAGTGATGAATTTCATAGTTTCCATTATATCAGTACGAGTATGACAGGGCAGAAAATAGTCCTGACTGGGACTGTACCTTGGTGTCGTTAACTGAATAGCGCTGGGTCCCCGCGGCGTGGATGGCGAGCGGCTCGCTCCCCGGTCGTAGTGGTCTGAAGGGATCGCAGAACAAAGGAAAGCTCATCTGCTCTTTCCTAAAATAACTTAGCTTTTCTCCTCACCTGCTTTTCCCCTTAAAGAAAATAAAATAAAAAAAAAAACAAAAAAAAAAAAAACAAAAAAACAAAAAAACAACCACCAAAAAAACCCCACAACATATCAGGATTATTTATTTCTCCTGGCAGTGAGTTTGTCGTTGAATCAGAACAGCCGGAGTCGAAATCATGACAGAGTTTTATCAGTGTTATCAATTTTATAGACTTAAAAAGGGGAATAGGAAGGGGAAATAGAGGAAAGTGCTTCTGGTTTAGAAGGTAATTTCATTTTTGCAACACTGCCTGTTTTAAATAATGAATCCAGCTTAATTATCACAACAAAATGGGAAGATGGCAGCCTAGGACAGGCTTTTACGTTCGGATGGATTTCTGGCTGGTGCAGCTACTTGTCTCGGGCTCTTTTTGGGGAACTGCTGGTGGGTTTTGACAGCTTCATTCAAACCAAAGGGGAGCGTGTGTTGCCTTCCCTCCTCTGCCTCCCTTGGAAAAATCCCAGTCTTTGCTGCCTACCTTCTGGTGGTGCCGTGACTAAAATCCCGGCTTGCTTTGATAAATTTCTCCTTTTTTCCTCACTCATTAGCATTCCCTGAGTATATAACGTGTGGCTCTCTTGCATGAGATTCCTGCTCGTCCTTTCACACTGTCTTCAGGGTGTTATCTGCAGCTTGCCCTTCATCTCCAACACAAACCTGTTAAAAACCAAAACCTTGCAGCACCTTCTGCCAGTAAACCTTCTTGAAGGTGTCTCCAGGTGGGCTTTACTTGCCCAGCCGTGGCCTTTCCCAGCAGGATGAAGGAAAATTGTTTGCCTTTTGCAGGAGCTCTGGTACCTCTGCAGCAGCTGTTCCTCCGTGGATAGCCTCGTCACTGCCACGTTGGCATCCTGAACGGGCAAACTTGGCAAAATAAGCAAGCACGGTGCAGCTACCCAACTGTGCTAGAGCTTGGCAGGGACCAAGAAGGCTACCGTTGAGTAGCCGGGTACGGCCGTGTTTCCAGTGGCCCGTGTAGATCACCATCTGCTTTGGGCTACACTGAGCCTCTCACTTAGGTGGGGTTTGGATGCTCAAGCTTAGGTTTTACGGTTGCCAGATAGCTGATGGGGAGAGGCGGGTGCACGCAGAGGAAAGGTTCGGTGTCTGAGTTGAGAACCTCAGTGACGTGAATACGCCAGCGCGTGTCTGTTTTTAGGACCTAGGGCTGATAACGTAGGGGCAGTGGGGCGAGGAGGGGGACTCTTGCCCCTGGTGAAGCCGACAGTGACTTGGGCACAGCAAAGATGTGCAGCTCCCTTTGCAGGCAGAGGAAGGAGGCAATGCCCTGGGGTGGAGTGTTCCTCCCCTTGGGTTTGAGCCAGCCCCGTGTCATAGAATCATAGAGTCATTATGGTTGGAAGAGACCTCAAAGATCATCAAGTCCAACCGTATACCCGTATGTCTCATCCTCCCGTGCCGGTGGCTGTATCCCAACACAGACCCCTTGAGATGGGAGTGCTCAAAACAAATCCCCATTTTCCCACTTCTTCGGGTGCTGCTGCAAATGGTTCCCGTGTACTTTCTGGCACGTGAGCGACGGGGCATCTCTTCTCAGCCTAGAGAGCAGGATGACTGATAATACTGTTTTTACCATGTGTTTTTCTCACTTTACAAACCAGGACCCCCCTCTGCTCCTCGGAGTGCCATCTCAAATGTTAACGAGACTAGTGTGTTTCTGGAATGGATTCCCCCTGCTGATACTGGTGGAAGGAAAGATGTGTCTTATTATATTGCATGCAAGAAGTGCAACTCACACTCAGGTCTGTGTGAGGCGTGTGGCGGTCATGTCAGGTACCTTCCCCAGCAAACCGGCCTGAAAAACACCTCTGTCATGATGGTGGATCTGCTTGCTCATACAAACTATACCTTTGAAATTGAGGCAGTGAACGGAGTGTCCGACCAGAACCCCGGAGCCCGGCAGTTTGTGTCTGTAAATGTAACCACAAACCAGGCAGGTAAGTGGATCTTCAACCTGGGGAAATGTCCTGGGGTGGGAACCCGAGACCAGTCAGACCCAGTGCAGACCTCCCTTGGAAATGGGTGGAAGTCCCCAGCACGGAGGGCTGGACTGTGGCCTCTTTGAATATGGGGGGGGATGTGGGGGGTGTGGTTGTGTCTCGTAGGTCATAATTACTGCAGTTTTCAGCATGTTTCCTTCCAGCAGGATGTACTTCTAGGATTTGTGACTTTTTCCTTGTACGCTAAGCTACTCGGAGATCCCTCCGCTGCTTTGCATTTTGGTGTATCCACCCACAAAACCAGAAAGAAAACAGTTGCCTCTCCTGTTGGGAAAAGGAAATTTCTAAGAGCTCGTTTCAATTCCAAATGCCAAGGGTTAAAACATCATAACTTTGCAGACAGTTACCCTAAGAAAATAGCTTTGAATGACTATAGGAAATGTAATCCCTCTTTTGCACTGTGATGCTAAAGTGACTGAACTCAGGCTGGTGAGATGTGGTACGTTGTCACTGCTTCTCCAACAAGGTAGGGCCGAGATGTCGTTGCGTACCGTGTCCTCCTTGGGTCTGCACTGTACAGGCAGAAATCATGTAGAGTGGTTTGTTCCTTTGTCCAGGGCTCAGATCTGTCTGCCCAGCGGTTGACAAGAGCTGTCGCCTTGGACGCAGGCGGGGAGTTGCCGTTGTCCCCTGTCATCTGGAGGGGTGATGGGAGGCAAAAAACATGATTACATCTCCTTCCGTGCACATCAGCGCAGCAGGCACATCACACGGCTTCTGTAAGCCCTGGAGACCTTTCTATCCTTCTTCTCTTCTCCCTTATGCTCTGTGTTTTAGGGTCTCTCCCCTTGCCTCCCTGGCTTGTTTCCTGCTATTTAATTCAGGGTGGCACTTGTCCGCTGCGGAGCTCTTCCAGGAGTGTGAACCGGTGACATTGGGACCGTGAAGACTGTGCTGCCAGATCACCGGAGCCCATCCCTTGCCTCCTTCTTCCAGACAAAGCTTAGCCAGGAAACGCGGTGCGGGATGCAGCCTAATAACTCGATGAAGATTGGCAGATCTTCTCTGCAGAGCAGAAAGATGCTGGCTGGAGCAGGGCTGCGTTTCATTCAATATGCGTGGGCTTGGCAGCCAGCATCGCGCTTCATCAGATACCTGTCCTGGTAATTAGACTGAATTGTTGGAGTGTTGGACAAATCGTTGGGATGTATCTCAAGGAGAGGAAAGAAAGGCATGCCGGGGGGTTGCTACTGGTGGATGTGGCAGGACATCTTGTGGAGGAACATCAGTGGATGGCAGCGGGACAGCTGCTGAAGGCGCCTGCGTAACACAGATCAGCGGGTGTCACGGTCCTAATGCGGTTTACTGTTTTCCCGTTGTGAAGGTTGCTGCCAGCATCTCCGTTGTTGGCAAAAGTGTATTTTCCTGTTAGTGGGTTTGCATTAGTGTTTCATTGCTGGCGCTGGAGTTTCTCCGATGCGTGGGGTTAAATCCAGATAAACCCCAGTAAAGGTAGCTGCACGAGAGGAGATGTTAGGTTGCTGATCAGTGCAGACTGAGGAAGTGGTCCTGGTTTGTGAGTTATGGCCCAAACTCCCCATAGTTGCCGCAGGATTTCTCCACATAGCTGCCTTCGTGTGCACCGGGCCAAGAATAACCCCCTTGCTCAGTTACCACCTCCAGCCTTGTGTTGAAAGGTCCATTGTAGGAATCGGTAGACCTGTGACGAACGTGGCTCATGCTAAGGACAAGTGGGTAAGTGTAGCTTCTGGTTCCATCTCCCCGTTTGCTCTGGTGCAGTCGCAATCGAGGGAGATACTGATGGAGCAAGCCATGAGTGTTTAATTCACTGTGTGGTGTTGAAATTACATCTGTATACTCTCGTGTTTGATTCAACGTTCACTCTGTCCGAAGCAAGGAGTGGTGACTCTTTATTTTGTTGTCTCTCTGGCTGGTCCCACCACTTGTTCAGGATGAGAACCAGGCCTGTTTGCTGGAGCTCTAGCATCAAACGTGCTTCCCAGGAACGTGTTCTTTTGGAAGTCCCAGGGATGGTCATCGATTTGTCCATGCCAGAAATAAAAGCGGCCGTAGAGGGGGACTTTGCAAAGCAGGCTAGCTGCCGAGCGTGGAAAGTGGATATCTAGCTGGTTTCTGAAGATGCCTCTGAAAAATGTCCTTTGAGGCAAGTAATGGAGGTGTGCAGGTGGCGAGGTCCATACCTGACCATGCCCAGAGATGCTGAATATCTCCGAAAAAGCCTCACCTTCAGCCCTCCTCTCTCCAGTAAGAGCAGGCAAGGCACACGAGGCTTCAGGGAGTCTCAGCCCACTCATCTTCCCCCTGAAACTACCACCAGGAGATGCAGCTCTGAGGCCTCATCCTTTCCCTCGCACAGCTTTTCTGACGGGATGATTATATTTTCGTGAAAGCTGGTGTAATGTAGTTGGTTCACTAAAGCCAGTGACACAAGGCCAACTGCAGCAGTAGGAGAAATCCTGCTACAGGAACTGCTGGCTGCAAAAAATAAAAAAATTGCATACTGTGGGTTAGGTCTGGCTGCTGGAGTCCTGCTGGCAGTTATTCATTAACCCAGCACTGCAGAGAAGTGCCAGGGTCTGTTTTGTTGGTTTGGCTTGTGTCCGTCCCCAAAAGACCATACTAATTTCAGGACTGCAGAGAAGGCGCGGGCAGCGGGGTGCTGGGCATGCCGCCTCTTCTGTGCATGGGAGCTTTTGGCAGCAGCAACTGCCCCTGGTTTGGGCTCTCCAAGGGACTGCTTCCTGGGGGAAGAAAAAAAAAAAAGGCTTTTTTTCTCCAAAATAATTTGTTCCCCTTCCTCTCTCCTCAATTTAAAATAATGAGAAAAAGAATTGGCACCTGCAATCAGTCTGGCATTTTCAGATTGATGTAATTTTCCTCTGAACTTTTGAAGTTAGATTTGGAAATGTGGGAAGGAAACAGTCATGTTTGGTGCGCAAGAGGAGGCAGGTAAGGTCATCTCAGCTGGGGACCCCAGCGGGCGTCTCCCCCAGTCCCTGGGGACCTGATGGTACTTGGCACGGGACTGGTCCGCATGGGATACGGTGGCCTCAGGCTCCGAATACAGGACCAGTTCCCCTGTCACCCTCCTGCAGTCCCCAAACCTCTTGTTTTTGTGGGATTTGGCCGATGTTTTCTGCTGGAAGACGTCTATTTAGAAACTATGAGCAACGCCACAAGCCAGGGGAGGTGGCAAGTGTGCTGGCCTCCATCGTGACTACCCTAGAGCTGCTGCAGGCAGCCAGAGGACCTTATTCCCTTTGTAGGCACATGGGTTGGCCAAAGCATGGTTTTCCCCTCTGGGATTGCTGCAAAATAGATGCTCGAGGGACTTCCCAGCACAGATGGCAGGGAGCAATCTGTAATGCGCTCTTACAGCGCGTTAAAAAGTGTGCCTGGTGCACGTGGGCTGGAGCTCAGTGAATAATTCATAAGTGGCGATGATAGGATTGAGTTAGCCATCCTTTTCTTGTTCATGGTTTTGCTCAAGTTTTCATATTTTTGAAACTGCCACCAATTTAGACGATTTCCAGAGAACAGTCTGCGTGGGGTTCAAATATTGAAGTTTGCTTTTCAAGTGACAACTACGTGACCGTTTCTTTTTTTTTTCCCTTCTGTGATTTCGCCAAGCTTGGTGATTAAGTAACGCTGTCACTCCAGACAGAGATGTGCATCTCCCTTGAGGTCTTTTGTCTTATCTGCCCTGTATACAGAAAGCACCTACCGTGACATCTTGGTCAGAGACGTGCATCTCGTAATGGGTCCCTAGGGAGCAAGCAGTTGTGATTCACGGTTGCCTGCATGCCTGTCGTATCATCGTAGGAGCACACTGGGAAGATGCAATGTTTAAAACCTGTCTAGGCTTAAAACCTTGCCAAGACTATTCACTTTAAGCCAGTCTAAACAACCGAGCAATTTTCTTTGCTTTTCGTTTCCAGCATCCCTCATGCTGGGCATGGCTTTAGGCAGGGAGCTGGCCTGGAGGTGGGGGGTCCGAGAGTGGGGCGGTTCTCCTGCTGGCATCCCAAATGCCACCGACTCCTTTACACTTAAAGACCTTCTCTGCGCGTGTTTTCAGATAAACCCCCTGCCTGTTTTCTGTTTGAAAAATCGGAAGCCAGCGTTCCATCCCCTTCTGTGACCTGTATGATATTTTCAAGCCTTTTGGGGGGGCAGAAGGGGAAGAAAGCTCCGGCCGTACTTGCTAACGGAGAACGCCTCAAGGAGTCTGTGTGCCCAAGGCCAAACCAGAGGTACAAATTGCATCCTTTGCTTATTTAAGCAAAGGTGTTGGAGGACAGGACCTGGCAACCTGTACTGCTGCCAGGGAGACATGGCTACCTTCTTGCTTGACAAACAAAACCCAAACCACTGGATGCTTGGAGCAGCTGGAAAGCTCTCGGAGCAGGCAGCTGTGCTGAGAGCCGTGATCCTGGCTCCGATTTTGCAGGCTGGGGTGCTGCAGTGCGGGGGGGCAAAGGAGAAGGTGTTTTCCTTAACACTGGGGATGTACCGCTCTTTGAAAAGCAGGCAAGGACAATTTGGAAAGGGAAACCTGTAACGTAGAGCTGCTTGTGTCAGCAGCTGCGTGCTCTTGAAACCGATGGACTGCAGCCGTGGGAAGAAGACATCCGAAGATGAGGCGAGGTGATGGTTGTGCTGGGAGGCATGTTTTCAGAGATTGCCTTTGGGAATGGCCAGGTTCACGTCCTGTAAGGTTCAGAGTCTGATTCTTGCAACTTTCAAGTCTCCGAAGCTTGTTTGGTTTGGCTTGGGGAGGGAGGGCAGCTTGCTTATTTTCTTTAGGAGTAACAAAAACTTTCCAAGAGGATGCTCTAGTAGATGCGGCACGTTGTATGCATCTCGCATGAGAAGCAAGGCTGGTTTTGCAGCTCTACTTTTCAACCAGAACTGCTCACCTAGGACCTGCGAAAGCTTAAGGGGACGCTTATTTT